CTAGAAAAATTAATATAAATATAAAAATTAAATAATCTTTAAACTAATCAGAAAACAGCGCTCAACTTTTATATAGACAAAAAAGGAAAAAAAAATAGGTTCGCATAATTTTTATGTTTTCTTAGATTTCTAAAATTGCTTTCTTAAATTCTTTTAATATTGACGTCGTGAATATTAAATATATATCATGAATAATCTTCGTGAAAGCAATCTCTCTTTCTCTCTCTTGACAGTTACGACATCTTCATTCGTATTCATTTATTTCTCTTGCAACGAGGAAAATGAGTTATGTTTATGTATTTCGTTATGTATTTCGTTTGAAATGTTTTTTTCTGAGATAAAGAAGTCTCAGATCTATCGAAAACATTTTGTTGGTAGGCCAGCAGGAATATATGTTAAGAAAATTTGTTAATAAAATATGATGACGGGAAATTGACTTCGGAAATGGAGCAAAATTCGCTATCTCGTAATTATTAACTATTTAAATATTACATTCCCTTTAAATAATAATTACGAAGTGACAAATTCCGCTACGTTCCTTCTAGTAATCGGCTGTCAGGACCATCTCACTCGCTGCGTAAAAAAATGTAAATTCTGCTGACGGAATCCGAGTTCAATGCGACCGTAGTTAAAGCCATCGTAGTATTCTATTGGCGTACTGTTAATATTTTGCCTAGCGGGATTTATTTGTCTCCATTCGAATAAATCGCCTGGGAGCAATCCGTTTCCGTTCCCACAATACCGAAGAGATCCAGGATCACGCGAGGGTGTTTTCGATCGAGCGTCGCCGTGTCGCGCGCGTCAGTCAGCGTGACGGTGCAGCGACGCGCGCTGACGGTGCCGTCGAGCGGAAGGCGAAGACGCGCGCGGGACGGCGGATCATTGCCTCGCGTGTTTGCCTTCCGTGCTTATGCGGCGTACACGGCAAAAAGTGCACCCGAGAGGGAGAGAGAAAGACATGCACATGCACATGCTGGAGAGGAGAAGAGGAAAATCTTCTGTTCCTCGAGAACGGAAATCCCTTGGGAACGATGCAAGATGCGATGCATCTGCAGGAGAAATAATGGTCGCGAAAAAAATCATGGAAAAGAGGACTGAAGGGTGCAAATATAGGGCAGGTGTCTACTCAAACCTGAAAAAAAAAAAATTCTCTTACTTTCAAGGCATTTGTTAAAAAATCTCAGGTAAATAAAAATATTTTTTAATGTCTTACAAATAAATATATATCTATTGTGTAAAGTCCATATAATATTTTCTTTTTATAAAAGTTTATAGATCATAAAATAAAACTAAGAATCACTCGAGTTTCAATAATTAAATTTGAAAAATTTTGTAAGGAACTATAAGGACTTTAAAGAATAAATATTTTATATTGCATAAAATTTTTAAATTTTATTTTCAAAAGCTGTAAACAAAAAATTATATAATGCAACCGATACAAAATTCAACTTTTATTAAAAAATTATTAAAATAAATATCCGTCTTCAACAAAACAAAGTTGCATCTAACGAAGTCATTGCTTCCAATGTCGAATATAAAGTCGTGCGTTCTCGTGTTTGAAATAAATATTTCACTATTATCATTAAAAATTCAATAAAATCTCGATTATAATATATAAAGATAAAATGTTAGAAAAAGCAACTTCAAAAAAATTCCCCGATTTTTGAATAAATCTTCAGCATTTCTTAATTTTTTCAGAGATAAACAAATTCCCTGAAGATTCCAGATTTTCCAAGTTTTTCCAAGCAGTAGACAGCCTGTAGAAGTTATGATACGAAATATAGAAGCGAACCGTAAGGAGAACATGAGATAAACAAGCGCACAAACAACCTGCGCCGTAAAGTAAAAGTATCTTCGCTGTTAAACCGCAAGCTGGAAATCAGCTGGACCGATTATAAATGAGACTGGATGATGAGTTGGATTATGCTTGTTGGAAAGAAATTGTTTCTTTTCAACCATTTGCTCGAGAGCCGTGCGGGCATGGTAGACTCGAAATTCTCTCGGGGAATTTATCATTAATTGCGGTAATGGCGGTCTTGTGTGAGATTTATTTACCTTAAATAACCAGACGAATTTTTTGCTCAGGTTTGCGTGGTCTCGTAAAAGCACTCTCTGTCGTATTCCGGCCGTAGAGGAAGAGCGTAATAAAAGAAAGCGGAAAAAGAAAAGAAGGAGAACGACATGACATGCAAGAAGGGTGGAGAGGACTCGCGATTGTGTACGCGTGTATGTGTATGCGCGAGTGTGTGCGAAGGGAAGAGAGAGAGAGAGAGAGAGAGAGAGAGAGAGAACGCGGTATAGGGGCAGCTGATCTAAACATAGAGTACGCTCGAAATATAACGAGGCGCAACCTTATAGCGAGGCAAGACAGAGGAGAAAAAGAGAAAAAGAGCGGGAAAGAGAAAGAGCGCGTTAAAAGCACGCTAGTCCGCAAAAATGCGGGATGCCGCGACCGAGAGAATCCAGTCGCCGTTCTTTCTGGGCGTCACGACGCCGATTATCCCTCGACGTCATCGCCAGGAATGGCGTCGTGGCGCCTCAAGTCACGACGATAAAATATTCAAATATCTCGATTTGACAATGCTTGATATCGCGCGGTACCGCGCGGCAATCTCAAGGATGAAAGATGCAAATCGTCATATCGACAAAAGCGAAAACAACAAGTAGAAAGACCGTAGGAGTGCAGTAAGAAGTAAGAAGTAAGAAGAAATACCAATACGGATTCAACGGATACAACGCTCGATAATAGGAATGAAATAAAATAACGTGCGAGCTAACGGGAAACCAAAGAAAAATGAAGTAATCACCACATTTATTATAAATCAATACACTCTATTTCAGACGTGGTTGCGGAATTAGCGTCTCGGTTTCTAATTTCTGACTCTTTAACCGCCGCTCCAGCTACGACATTGATAAAAACTTATACGCAGTGGGACGAGAAGTGGAAAGTAACGGTGTGTCGCTGGAGCATGTTTTCTATACGAGACTACGTATTACGAGGCATCTGTAGTTTTACGAGTTGAGCTCTTGAAAAATGCCGTCATCATCGCCACCGCCACCTCCGCCGCTGCCGCCGCCGCCGCCACCGCCGCCGCCGTCGCCGTCGTCGTCGTCGTCGTCGTCGTCGTCGTCGTCGTTGCTGCCACCGCGGATCGATCCACCATCAGGCCGCTTACGTTCGCGCGTTAATGCAAGCGGAAGACCTTACTTACCGACTACCACGAGACAACATCTCGACGGCACATCCATCCCGTCCCGGAATCGTCGGGCGGGCGCCGCGAGTCCGGCGGCGAGCGAGCAAGCGAGCATCAGCAGCATCAGCAGCAGCAGCAGCAGCAGCAGTACGCGTACCGACGCTGTCGCGCCGACGGACGCATGGACGCGCGCGCGTGCTAGATCGCCTCCGACCTCTAATTGGATTCCGTCCGAGGCCTTATAAAATCGCGAAGCGGGCGGGAGAAGGAGAAGGAGGCGGACGACGGCGACGACGACAACAACGAAGACGCGAAGTCGCGTGTGCGACGACGGGACGACGTCGACAACGACGACGACGACGGCGGCGGTGGCGGCGGAGACGATCTCCTTTCCCGTGCGTCCGCGAGAATTCGCGAGATCGCCGACCTACGACACGCGTTGCCGCGAAAAGCGACCGTTTCGCAAGTGTTAACGTATCCGCGTAAAGCCGAGAAACACGGGGGAAGACAGAGAAAAAGAGAACGAAGGAGGAGGATCGAGAGGAATGATGAATAAGGTATGAGAGAGAGAGAGAGAGAAAGAGAAAGAGTGGAAGAACGAGTGTGTCGGCCATAATCGTCCAAGTTACGCGCGTGTATATGATAATTGATCTCGAGCGATAGATCAATATAAATCGTCGAAGTTTAGTGTTTTAAACATCTGTATCTATTTCTATCTCGAAAGAAATTGACGATTATACGTTTCCTACACGGAAAGAACAATTTTGCTGTAAGATCTAAGAATTTGGCCAGATATTGAAAAATAATTTTATTGGATTATCAAAATTATTATGTGGGACATTTAAATATATATACGATAATATTGCAAATATTTTTTATATTGTAGCAACCAATTTGAACGTCCTACATATTTTTTGATAGTTCAATAAAATTATTTTTCAGATCTGTATCCAATAGAACTGTTTCTTCTGTGTAGAAATTGAAAAGAATGGAATTGAAAAAAGCATTTTTACGATTTGGCAAACTTTCAAGATTTTCAACTTCTTTATTTTTGATTTTCGTCTTTTGAATTTTTGGTATGGATTTTTATTTTCAATATTATTATGTAATTACTTAGAAAGCTCTTATAAAAGTTTATCATACTTATATTTATAGGAAAAAATTACATAATTACTCGTGCAATTATTACGGAAAAAAGAAGAAAAGGTTTGACATTAAAAGTTACAAGTATAAACAGTAAATATATCAAGCTTTTTTTATTTGAAAAATTACGACAGCTAGTCTGTAGTCTAGTTTCATACCTTATAAAGATCCTCGTAAATGGCAACTGTCTTTTACTATGCCATTCGCGTCGGGGAGTCTTCTTCAACGAAAAAGTAATTTCCTAAGAGTATGATATTTACGCAGTCTTTTTACGTCACATCTTCAAATAGAAAGAAAAAGGGCACTTTTAAGAGGAAGGAAAATCAATATGAGGAATGTTCGTCAATCGGTCGTGGTTTCTATGACTTAAAGATTTTTTTTACGATGCAATCTAAATTGTAAACTTTATACGTTTCCTATACCACACTAAATTTATGAGAATACCGTTTCTTCTTTATGTATATATTCGTTTAGTATTCGGACTCGTACTCGTTTTCTAGGAATACATTTTGTGGTCATCCTTGAGGTATTTTCGCTCGCGCACTCCGCGAAAAAGATATGAGCTTAAAAAACACTTGCGTCGAGATGACGAGAGTAAAATTCTCTTGTGCTCAAGGATTATGCACGTGCATGCGTGCGGGCCTGCGTGTGTGTGTGTGTGTGTGTGTGTGTGTGTGGGAGGGGGGGGGAGGGGGGGTGGTAATACTTATGAGACGTAAGCCTATGGCTATATATGTATATACACATACACACATATATTACGTACATTATATTACACATATATCTTGTCATTGAGCAGATCGTATAAGATAGCATCTTGATGATTCCGACGACTTTGAGCAGAATCTAATATCGACATGTTACGCACATACACGGAATAAATAATTTTGCTGAAGTATCTAAAAATTTGACTGGATATTGATTTGAAAATAATTTTATTGAACCATCAAAATAATTATCTAGAAATTCCAAATTGATTATTAAAATATCAAACATTTTTCTATTTTTATTATCATATTTAAATATCCTGCATAATTATTTTGCTCGCATAATATTACAATATTATTATAAATAATAATGTTGTCCAACAAGTTATTTTCACAATTATTTGTATGTATGCAAATTTTTAGATATTTCAGCAAAATTGCCCTTTCCATGTAATTAAACACAATTACACAAATAGTTTACATAGTTATTTATATGTGTTCAATGTAGATTAATCTTAATCTCGGTTTAATTACTTTCTATATAATCTTTCAATTTTGAGGATTAGAAAGAAATGAAGAGTAAATTAATTAATAAAGATTGATCCACATTGATCGGGACGAACATCATGCGATTGTGTAATTCCCGTATATTCTCAGGCTTATTTTGAACGATCGATGATTCGTCTCGGAACGGAGATCTTACGCGGAATTTTATGCCTCGGGTGTTATATGCCGTATCCAACGGAATTGCGGAATCGGAATTGTATCCGCGGAATTAGAACGTGTTCTATTTTTGCAGGCCGAAAGCGCGCCGGCTCGCGCCGGCCAGGTATGCGTAGTAAACTTACAGATTTAATAACTATGATCCACAATTCTGAGCTTCGGTTACGCACGTTGTTTGCGACAGAAGTGACATAATGCGGCTTTATTAAATTACTGCGTGCACAGATGCACGCAGCCTGCGATAATAATAAACTACGTAACGGTCTTGAAAATAGAAAGACAAAGGGAAATCAATTTAATTACGCATTTATGAATTTACTATTGTTATAATTATAGCATAATATTTTTATTTGATCTATAATTTATATGTCGGCGAATCGATCGCGGTAAATTTTAGATGGTGTCCTGCGCAGATCATCCATAAAATGAATTTAAATGTAAACAGCCGATTCTGGAGGATATGATTTCGTTCGACGTCTGTTGAATTATTCCGATAAATGGAATCCTACTTTTCTATTTTTAATGCACAACAGGCACCGCATGTCGGACGGCATGTCGGACGCCTAGACGCGTCTTTGCCGATACGAGCGACGAGGATTTATCGGATCGTTAATTTTTATGGACTCATTAGGAGCCACGTTATGTTGAACGATAATTAGCAAATCGCGATCAAGTCTCCCGATTCATAATTGTCATTCGACGAACAGACTTGTGTTACCGCATAATTTATTTTGAAATTAAACCTAAAACTCGTGGCTCTCATCAAGAGCATCAAATAACGTTTCAGTGAAGATATTTCTGCAGAAATCAAAAATTAATTGCAAAAAGTCCAAAGAGGATTCAAGAGAAAATAAAAAAATCATCCTGCATTTTTTCTTCAGGATTCCAGCATCTAATTTTTTTTTTTTTTTTTTTTATAAATGATCGGATAACAGTTTAAGCGTGTCTTGATTTTGACCAAGATTTTTATTAAAACGCAAATTTGTTAAAAGGACATGTTTTCTTTTTATTTGCTTACACGCGACTTATGAGCGCTCATAAATGTCACGCCCGGGACGCGTTTCCCGGCTCGTAAAACCCCGAAATAGATGCGATCGCGGTGGGACTCCTCGTACGCGAGTAACGTTAGCGTGCACCGGCGTATTATCACGGCAATTAAAGGCTGCGAATTGCGCTGATTTGAATATACTCGTTAGCGCGATGCACCACGCCGACGAGGCTCACCACGAAGAGAGCCGGCGCGTTCGTGCGTGAAAACGCCAACTGACCTATGGCATTATTCGCTTACCTCTCTCACTCCGCCGGTGTGCATCGTATACATAAGCGATGGTAACATGAGGTTTTATCTAAAGACCTACATAATTTATAATTTCACGGTAATTATGTGCGTGATAGCCGTGGCGAGGCGAAGCCCGGCCACGAGGGTCGCGCGTTCGTGGCTAATGAATTATTAATTTGCGTTCCCGCTTTTTTCTTTTTTTTTTTTTTAGCAATTTTGCGCCACGCGAACACCGACGAAATTCCGAACGTGCATTAACACGATGACCTTAACATATTGCTCCGATTTTCTCGAACCGATAGCACGTGACGATCTTTTTTTTTTTTTGCGCAACTAATTCTAGATTGGCAATATGTATCTTGGTGCGCGTAATTAAAGAAAGAAAGAGGATTATTAAAGATATTGGACGTGTTAATTTATTGTGTGGCATTCTGCACTGCCAAGACGGCTTTCTGTATTATTTATCAGGCCAATCGATAACCGATTCTCGTAAGAATACGTCGTTATATCGGTGTTTTCTTCTGTATTAATTAGCTCTATCAATTATGGCCGAGGAGCTTCCCTTCTCGTCGAGCTAATCTTTCAGAATTAGGGATCCACTGATTGATCTTGTCGAAAGAAATTGAATCGAGTAGATTGATATACGCATAATTAATATACTTTTTAAGAGTTCCGTTATGAAATTCAGATTAAGTGACGACAATTTTTAATCGCTTACATTTCAAAGACCAACCGCAGTTATTGACATTGTGGTCAAAGATCTACTATGCTTGTAATGTTAACTAACTAATTAACGTTTTATTTATGTACAGGAACAGGCTCACGATGCCAAGCAACAGATCGCCACGAGTCCTGAAGACACGGAGGACATGCCCGCGGGGCAGCAGGGCCCGCAGGTGCCGCGGCGGCGGGGCGGAATCTCGGCGGAGCCGGTCTCCGAGGAGGACGCCACCAGCTATGTCAAGAAGGTCGTACCTAAGGATTATAAAACCATGGCTGCCCTGAGTAAGGCCATCGCCAAGAACGTGCTGTTCGCGCACTTAGACGAGAACGAGCGCTCCGACATATTTGATGCGATGTTCCCCGTGACCTTTTTGCCCGGCGAGGCGATCATTCGTCAAGGTGTGTGTGTGGTTCATGAAGCGTATCCGTTTTGTCTTGTATTTGTCATTGATCTGTGAAATGAACGGGCGAATAATTGGTATAATTTTTCCAGGCGACGAGGGTGACAATTTCTACGTAATCGATCAAGGAGAAGTCGAGATATTTGTCAACGGCGAGCTGGCAACGACGATCGGCGAGGGTGGAAGCTTCGGCGAGCTCGCGTTAATCTACGGAACGCCGCGCGCCGCCACGGTCAGAGCGAAGACCGATGTAAAACTTTGGGGCATCGACAGGGACTCCTACCGCAGAATCCTCATGGGCTCCACTATAAGAAAAAGGAAAATGTACGAGGAGTTCTTGTCCAGAGTCTCCATTTTGGGTAAGTGCATGTAAATCAATCGGAATGTCTTCTATTAGAATTCTAACGATAATGTTTTCTTGCTACCTAGAATACTCCAATTGATTAAGTTGGTAGAAATCTTTAAGGATATTAAATGGACAGAGAGATGAAATGAAGCTGTTATTTTATTGTATTATTCTTTTTGCAGAATCCTTGGATAAATGGGAAAGACTCACAGTAGCAGACGCTCTGGAACCGGTGGCGTTTGACGACGGGGAAACGATAGTCCGACAGGGCGAACCGGGTGAAGATTTTTATATAATCGTCGAGGGAACGGCGGTGGTTCTTCAGCAACGCTCGGAAGGCGACGAACCCGCGGAGGTCGGCCGTTTAGGACCATCCGATTACTTCGGTAATATAAAATTCATGCGACAGTCGATAACAAATTTTCATGAAAAATTGTTTACAAAATGAAAAAATTAGCATGTATAATTGTGTCAACAACGAGATATTCAAGTATATTCTAGAGAAACTAGAGAAACAAAATTTACGATTTTGTTCTGATAATCAATGATAACGTTAAAACAATCTAATGTGTCAATTTAAAATTTATTAAATATATAGTTTTTAATCAATTTTACATGAAGATTGAAAGGGCTCGTTTAACGGCAAGAACTTTTTTTATACAGGGGAAATTGCGTTGCTGCTGGACAGGCCCCGAGCGGCAACTGTAGTGGCCAGGGGTCCGTTGAAGTGTGTGAAACTGGATCGGGCACGATTCGAGCGGGTCTTAGGTCCGTGCGCCGACATTCTGAAACGCAACATCACCCAATATAACAGCTTTGTATCCCTCTCCGTATAAACGGACACTGTTTCCTCCACATCCTCCCCCCTCTTCCTTCTCTGATCCCAACAGCGCTGCCGATCATCCTAGGCTTCATTTCCACCGAGGACTACGTTATTTCGCCGTACCATAGTTAAATCTTTTTTTATTTGATTATTATTTAAGTGAATTAATGTACTACGTCAGCTATCAATCATCTCAGATGTGTACACGTATACACACATACACACAGACGGTATCGTTAGAGAGACGCTGTTAATATATTTACCGTAAGGCTATTTACGCACTGTGTAGCTCGCGACTCGATGCCAACGCGCACGCGAATTCATATTGACGTTGATCTCTTCCGCGCGATCTGTTCCTACTCGTGTGATTTTCATGTACACGAGAAATTATTAATCCGTTAACGCCCGTACTTTTTCGAAGGGTTGAGAATCTAATTAAAAAAAAAAAGGAAAAAAGATTTATCATTGAGATTGGAAAAACAACAAAACCGTACATAACGGTAATAATTAAGAGAGCAAGTTCAACTTGCCAGAATATGTCCCTTCTCGGTCGAGGACGTTAACGGATTAATTCGGTTAATGGCACGTTGTATACGCTGTTCCAAGTGTACGATAGAGATCTTTAAGCGAAGCTGATAGATGCATCTTGACGCGGTTTATAACCGCATCTCGACACGAAGTCTACGTCGAAGACGTAAACACTATTAAGCTCGTGTTATTACATAAACCCGTGATCAAACCACGTTAAACTAATCGAAAGCCATTTTAAAGCTTCTGTTACATTAGAAGCGAAAAAGATTGTACGACTTCTCTCCTCTCACTCCTATTCGATAGAATAAAACTGGTAAAATATACAGATCTTTCTGCGATCTCTCTGCATTCATAAATATGTCTACATACATTATGAATTTAAGCAAAGATGAATTTTATGATCGATTAGACTTTGCGATTTTTAATTTACGAATCAAAATCTCAGCGAATTTTACAAATTTATTCTATCGAAAGAAAGTGATGAAGTATAAAAAGGCTAACTTGTTTCAGTGTAACATTGTATGTAAAATACACGTACAAGTTTTCGCTTTTGATGTGAATTAATATAGCTACAATGACGAGCCAGGAACCGTAAATATTATCCATCAGTGAGAAGATCAGCGTTAAAAAAATGATGTTTTCTCGTTTACTGTTACATATTTTAAATGTTCTATGTTGTCTTATGGATTGTTAAATTATTTAACATTTAAATTATTTTATCTACCGATACCGAATCGGTATATATATATATATATATATATATATATATATATATATATATATATATATATATATATATATATATATAAATACATATATATAATATAATTAGCAACGACAACGCGTAAATGTCGGTCGCGATTTGCAATTGCGAACGTGAAGAAACCCAATGTCGACCGTGGTATTTATTATCAAGCGAAGCATCGTCGAGGCGAAGTCGTGGCAGAACGAGTCGCAATCTATGTCTCCTCTAAAAGTGCGCTAGATTTATAGTACGACGCGAGACAAAAAATGAGGTACAACGTCAGAAAATTAAATAATTTATTATGCACAACATCGTATTCGGAGCAAGTATTTTACAATGAATCATTTTTTTTTCCCTTCCGAATCCGTGTAATGCGGTTGGTGCACCTTTCATCCGAGCGCGCGTGTATGAACGTGAGAGAACCAAGAAGCAGCTTGACCACCTGGAGAATCTAATGAGAAAAGGAAATAAAGATCGAAAGATCGTCGTCCCGCGCGCGACACATGAATACATTAAAATAAATTATAAGATCACTCGGCACACGACGAGAACCGACGATGATGCGCCGCTCGTCGCGTGTGATATGCAGCAACAGACTGTCCTCTCCTTGTGATCTTCGGTCTTCTATTTTCGTCCTCAACTCAGGTGTCTTCAATGTCGTGGTTCATCCACGCAAGTAACAATATTTCGGGAATCAATTCTATCATTCTTCCTTCTTCTCTGCGCCTCATCCACCCATTATCTTCGAGCTTATCCGGGAAGTAACATTCATTGCGACCAGGAATGCTGTATTAATCGTTGATCGAGAAGAGCGTCTCTCGGGCACAAGCTGCATAAATATAGCGATAGCAGTCTTCTTAAACACAATTTATATCTCTGAATCCGTGGAATTTTTTTGGATCAAAATTCTCATCCGCGTTCTCCTTGAAACATTTCTCTTTTCAAAAAGAGAAAAGCTTGCGTTGCGACTCAGCTGGGCAGCTAACTGGGTTGTTTTCGTGTAGTAATATTTAAAAGAACATTTGGAAAATCGATCGAGCACTGTGGCAGTGAATCGTATGTGTGCATCATGCTACGAACGATTGAAAAAGAGAGAGCAACTTAATCGTCTCGTCGACGAATCGTCTCGAGCCGAGAACGAACGAAAGATGGACTTTTTTTTTTCTTATGCGAAGACTGTAGATTGTACCGTTTGCATAGTGAATATGATCCTCGACGAGTTATAACGAACTTTTTTCTCATCTAATCTTTTTTAATGAGGTAGCGTCGAATGAACGAAAACTATCCGTCCTGATTTTTGTACGATTTCCAGGAGCCCCCAGCGAGGGATCCATCATATACGTCCTCTTGCGATTATACAAGTGCGCGCGGGGAAACCGAATGAAGGAGCGTGTATATACAAATTCACAGTCGAAGCTGTAGTCGAAGTCCCAAGCTTTCGATTTTGCGCCCGACGTAAAACTGCGACATCGCCGTGGGACGATGGTTTGAAGATTGTTTGCGAGAGGTAGAGCCGGCACGTGGGGCTTCCGAGAGCGAGGGAATTTTATAAAAACATGCGTACCCCAGGCGGAATGTAACAATCTATCTAAGTATATATATATATATGCATATGCATCACATAAGCGCACGTATGCTAGAGACATATGCATATACACATAATACAATACACGTAAGATTTATATGTATACGCGTGTATGTATATAAATGTGTAGCCCTTCTTTTTCACGTGTTACGTTATCTTCCGCCGCGAGGGGTAAAGGTAGGACAGTAGAGCGGCGTTGCCTTCTACCAACCACCTAGACTACCACTGCTTGCCTTGCAGTCGATTTGCTGTCGAGCGAGATCAGCGTAAACCAAACCGAACTCGCTTACAAATTCATAAAACTTGTCCAAAGAATCAAAGGCCAATTCCGCTACGACGAAATGAACCGCCAAATTTTGCCGGTAGCTAAACAGCACAAGAAATGCAGACGTTAGATAATGGGCGTATATGGTGATGTGGTAGGAAGTACATAAAACAGAGAAAACAACAATTTAATATTCAATTAACTTTCGGCTACGATGTCCTGTAACAGAAATCTGCAATTATAATTTGTGGTCCATGTTTCTCCATAGGAATCATTTGTTAAAACATGGCGCTGGAATTGAATTAGATATTTAGAAAAATCAACTTGATAAAAGTATACCAACTGAACTTTGATATACTTTCTCCGTGATCAATCATGATTTAGCTTTCCAAGGAACTTTTCCTTGGAAAGTAAATGCAATAATACTAGAAAAAAATGTATGCTTGCATTTACCGAAAAAAACAAGACTATTCTCCAAATTTTTTGAAAATGAAATTTTCATCTCGAAATCAATTTTAAAGGGTTGTATACTTTGTATCGTATTATTTTAACGATAATATAATAACAGATTCGCGTGTTTAATTCATTAATCTATCAGTGATTATTAATTGAATGAAGCAAAGTTTCAAAGCAAAATTAAAGTCAATATTATCTAAAATCAATATTCATTATTTTTACCAGTATGAAACATATACAACCCCTCGATAAAAGTAAAGACAATTTCATAAAACAATAATTACACATAAATACATATCCAGATAATACGTACGACTTTATCATGAATTTCAATGCCTTCTTTCGCTCTCTCGCGACAAACCAATCCATCAAAAAGGCAGACATACGTGGTGCCGTTCTATACAATTTGAAGAAAGCATGGAAGTTACCCAACCACCACGCCGAGCGTATTTTTAACGCATGTGCTATGCATTCATCGTTTTTATCTTCTGCCGAAAGTGCAGCTAAAATTGTCGTTAAGTCTGAAATGGAAAATATTACAAAATATTTTAATAATGTAATCAGGAAAAATGATTGTGCTCTTTTTGCGTTATTAATTTTCGTTACGAACCTTGGGTATTCTTCGTGAAGATATAATAGAGAATTCGATACGCAATGAATTCACATCGATTCTCGCCACCGAGATCCTGATATAGCATTTTCAACTGCGTCTGACACTGATTGAATTCTTCGTGGTCACCGCGTTCTAAAGCTACACGGGCGTGAGTTTCGTATACATGAACTGTAAACGCGTCCCTGATACCTTGCACGGTAAGATCTTGCCGGATGGATTTTAATTGATCACAAGCGTATCTGTAGTCCTGATCGGCTAGCCAACGTTTCTTGACGTGGGCCAAAGAATTTTGAAGTACACTTACCGGTCGAATTGCAGACGGAGCAGGAGCCTGCAATAATATCATATAATTTCATTAGAAATCGGTAATCACCGATAAATTTCTATCCATTATTGAAGATAATTTTAAATATTCACGTACCGACGTGAGACGCAAGTAAGGTTTCTCTAGATCCTTGCACGTGCCGACGATGTGGAGTCCAGTAAAGTCGAAATCTGCATTTGAGTCATCTCTAATAACAACGCTGCTGATAGACGTCCTGGAAATGCCGCCATTGAATCTGGCAGCACGCTGCTGCAGCTTCTCCTTGGTACCCAGCTCGTCCACGTTGCCTGTAGCTAAACCAAATTCGGAATAGAAATGTGATTTAGCTTGCTTAGCCTTCTTGGACTTCTTGTTGCCGTGATTTGCCTTGTTGCGCCCGGACTTTTTCGCTTTCGGCGCCTTGTAATCGTGCTCCCGATCGCTAATGTTTGATGACGAGGACGTGCTGCGCCTGTTGTATCTCCGCGACGGCGGACTACGTGTACGCGAACGCGTCGATCTCGACCTCGAACGTGACCTCGACCGCGACCGCGACCGGGATCGCGATCTCGATTTGGATCTTGATCTTGATCTCGATCTAGACCTCGATCTCGACCTCGTCCTTGACCGCCTGCTGTGTGTCACAGAGAGACGCGCGCCAAGCCGAGCCCCGAGCGAGCTAGAGAGCCCGGGCTTGCGCAGGCCTCCCTGTGCATTGACCAGTGGGCTCGCCAGAGGATTCGCCAGTTTTAATGCCGGCTTTTGAGGTTTGATCGTCATGGTCATACGTTCGCTGTGGATGCTGGGTAGAGGCTCCTTATCCCAGTCCTTCAACCAGAGCGAACCGTCGTTCGCGGCACGCGTGATCTTGCCCTTCAATATGATTTCAACCTGATCCTTATCAACCGCTGTCTTACATTTCTCATAGCATCGATTCACGTAGTTCTTCAAACTCTCGGGCCAGTCCCCAACCGGATTATGGTTGATGGAAGAAATAGCACCGGTACTAGGAGTCGTATTAGCAGCTGTGGTGACCGGCACGACAGGACCAGGTGGCTCCTCGCTCGGCGGCGGAGGAGCCACTGGTTCGCATTGTGCGGGAGGTAACGGTGGTAATTCCGCGGGTTTTCCAACATTAGGTCCATTAGGCATAAAAGAACCGGTAGCTGAAGGGTTTCCCTGAAAGCTATTGTTGAATTGAGCTGCTAAATTTTTGTTCCGCTTACGTTTTTCTTCGCAGCGCCGCTATTGCCGGATGGCGTATATCCTAGACCTGTTTTCTTATTTGGTAAATTGAAACGTATCGCATTCTGTCCATTGTATTCTGAAAAAAAAAAACAAGTCTCACCTTAATGTTGGTATGTCTAAACTATGTATTATAGAGACGAAGCGTGTCTGTCGAGAAAAGCAAACACATAATATGAATCCTATTATGATGATATCAACAAACTTTCAAAACAAAAGAACATTATAGAACATTCTTCAATTCGTTATCTGTTATTTCATATATATATTCAATTAATTCAAAATATTCTTTTCTGTGAAAAATTCATTACAAAATTTATTTGGAAAAATATTTAAAAATATTGCTATACATTCAACTTCTTCAACAGTGACTTCTTCGCTTATCTCAGTTTATCGTTAAAAAAATAAAAACTTACGAGAATTATCATTGTGCATTCCATTCCAGTTACCATAGGGGAACGAATTGTACATTAGGCCTGAATAAGCCATCGGCTGTTGTTGCATATGATTGTTATGCTGTTGATTCGGAACTGTTGGTGGTGGACCAGGTGGTAGTGGTGGAAGATCAGATTCATCATCCAAAGGCATCGGAGTACCCGGTATTGGAGGTTGCTGATGTAACTGCTGTTTTGTCTGATTGTTCCCCTGCTGTTGTTGTTGCTGCTGCTGCTGTTGCTGCTGCTGCTGATGTTGTTGCTGCTGATGTTGCTGCTGCTGTGGCTGTTGATGCTGCTGTTGATGCTGCTGTTGATGCTGCTGTTGATGCTGCTGCTGATGTTGTTGCATCTGCTGAGGATTAAAATGTTGACCATATCCTGGCATCATGTGATAATAATTAAACATCTGTCCTTGATGTGGCACACCTTGATACCCTGGGCCATACATTTGCCTGCAAGCAAAGATTACAAGACTTATTGTTTACAAATGTAACTCCAATTTATAACAATTTCAAGCATTGCCAGATAACCTGAGACTTTGTTACGGATATTGAATATAGAATTCCCAAATTGTCACAAATAATAATTCGAACATCAACAAAAACAATTACAACGCAATACCTAAACAATTATTGCGACAATTATTATAATATAAATAGCAATATACACTATAATATTACAATACAGTGTACGGAATGCCAACGATATCAAAATCGATTAGAACAAAATCCTGATCGATCGCATTTGTTCCAAGAACTGAATTACCACGAACTCATTCGCGTTCATATACAGGATGATTCATCTCGGTTCACAGACATTGCGCATTCTCTCAAACAGTCCGCGGTATTAATCCCGCATTAATCCTATTCCAGACAGAGGTTGGCATCTCGTTAGAAAAACCTTCATTTGTTTCAAGTCTCGTCTAAACTCCAGATTCTGGAGAATGGAAAAAAAATTCGAATCCTGATGACGCGACTCCGACGCTCTCGACTTCTGATGACACTCGATATCGAGCGTCCTATACATAATAATAAGACAGACGCGTATATCGAATTTCTCGCGTTAGATTCGCCAGAAAGATAGGAACGAGCGAGCTGAGGGTGTTTCGCTCCGGAATTTTAAAGCGAAATTAACTGCCAAGCGAGGCCAACGTTGGCGGACGCAGCAGCTTCGCTTTCGCGAGAGGAACACGTCACGAAATGGCCGATTCCGTTGTCTCCGTGCAACGCATCTTGGCATCTTAACGACGCAACTCACCCCGGATACGGTGGAAACATGTGCATATTGTTTGGCGGGTATTGCCACGTCATATTCGCCATCGGAGCCGCTCCGATCGGTGGCTGCTGCTGTTGCTGCTGCGGATGAAACGGTGGCTGCTGCTGCTTCTTCTTCTGCGACAACGCCTCGCCTTCTGACATAGCGTGGAATAAAAAAATATCAGAATCGCTCGGAGATGGCCGCCTCCCCCTCCCGACTCGTGGCGCGTAGCGGATCGCGATCTCGCCGTCGAGCTACCGCGAACCGCGAGTAGAATCCGCGATAGAGGACGCGTGCGCGCGTGCACGTACTCGAGAGAGAGGAAAAGGGAAAGAGAGAGAGAGAGAGAGAGAGAGAGAGAGAGAGAAAAAGAGAGAGAGAGAGAAAGAAAAGGAAACCAATGTAGGATTCACTCGGAGAAACTCGTCACACTTGAGAATTCTTTTGTCTCGTTTATCGCGCGTTCCCGACTTCAGGGTCCCTCGAAACGCTCTACGTTTTTCTACGCACGACGACGCGTGAACATGAGCATTCGCGACGTGCTACGATAGCTGAAATCCGGAATGACGGACGAAACGGAGTCCGCAGTCCGCAATCATAACGCACGGAGTAGCACGGAGCGGAACGGAGACAAAATTACAGCGCACTTCAGGCCGCGGCCAGCGCCATCTAGTTTTTCCCCGGTTTTTAAACGGTTCGCGGCCGACTTTCCTGCAATTTTTTTATTTCTAACGCAATGTTTATTAATTTAATCTTGGTTTATAACTTACTTCGCTTTCTAATTTTTCATTTCTATAAATATAGAATTAATTAAAATGTAAAATTGTATATGCTTATTCTACATATAATAACATATGAAAAATTTGTTACCATATTCATTTTCAATGTAGATTAATTTCAATTTAACTTATTAATTCTTTTTATTAATTCTTTAGAGTTAAAAAAAAATGTAAGTTAAACCGAGAGTTTGATTTGAACGTGTGCGCCAATTTCGCATATCCTCTAGTATCCTCCTGCCAAATATGGTCCCCTAATATAATGAACGCCAATCAGCCACGAAATTCGAATTTGTAACTCACTTCAGTCCGACACGCCTAGAATTCCCTCCTCCAAAAGGCGCGAATTTCAAATCAATATCCAATCATAATAACCTCTTGTTGAAACGTATTCTCCTAATAAATTTGACGATTTTTCGAGTAATGTAGTCAAATTCTCTATGCCGAACTAATCACGTAATCTTTTCCTATAGCTAAATTTGAAATTGAAGAAGCTCAGGCGTGATTTAAAACTTAAATCATTAAAATAATGAATTAATCTTATTTTAATCTAGATATAATATTAGAATAATGTAAAATAATTTCAAATCAATTTTAATTTTTAAAAAAGGTATGTTAAATCATAATACTCAAGAAATATTGTTGCTTTTTTTTCACAATACCTCTCATTGCGCTTACTTTACAAGCAGCAAAAATCATCGCAAAAATTCTGATAGTATGTATCAAAAAATATTATATTAATTTATTAACTGTTCCTTTTTGTTAAAAAAAAAAAATAAATAATGCGCTCACAAGGCGTGATTAGAGAGGGATAATTAAGAACACGATAGTTTTGTAACTTCTAACAATGATATATTTTGGAACATATTGTCAATGGGGAATATAGACATTATATAACAGATAAACTATATTTCGAAATGTAAGATTCCGATGTTAGCCGGCGCAGCGAATTCGCTCTTCCATTCCGTTTACATCCAGTATAAAAATATACGCACACAAAGGTAAAAGAAGAAAAATCCGACAGATGAATCTGAATATTAAACACAACGATAGAATTCGGAATCGCGAAACGCTCGCCAAAAGTAATCAGTTGAATATTCAGAGAGTTTGTAGGCAAAGTACATTTGTAGGCATAAGTCGCGTGTACGGTTATTTTTCTATTGTGTAACTTATGGAATGAACTGAATTTGGAGAAAATCACACAAACGAATAAATTCAAGGAAATATATATTATAAAACAAAAAGCTATATTAACAAAAATATATATTATAAAACAAAATATAAAAATGTACAAAATTAACAGTATTCAAAAAATTCTTTAAGATCTAATTCAAATAAATCTCAATTTAATAAATATAAAGACATTTAATCGACGTGATATTTTTTTTTAACAGAATATATATTTTCAATAATCTGCTAGTTTTAGGACAACCTGTAGTTTCGATAAATGACTATAATCTAGATCTGATTGCGCTTCAAATTTTTTCCAGCTTCATTTCATTCCTTCTTAATTAGCTTACTTATATAGAGTAATTGTGCAGTTCTTGATAATTTTTCCGACTTTAAGCGCAAAGAGTGCACGATGAATATGATAGAAGAAAAAATACAATTATTCAACATCAAATAATAAAATTTTAATCTTAAAAACCAAATATATTAATAAAAATAAATTGATACATACAATGTAATTTGATATATAGAGATATTTTGTTCAAAAATAAAATTTAGCTATAACGAACCGTAAGATTTTATTTTTTAAATCATCAGCATCGCTCTGTGCTTAAATTCAGAATCGGATATTTAATTCTTATTATATTACTACGATATATTATATCGATCGTGAAAATAATAGTCAGAAAAAATGTGTAGGCAAAAGCATCCTTTTACATGATAAACATTCAAATGACATGGTAATGGATTCATCGAAAAACGGTGGTTCTTTTCTTTCGAATGCTTTTAGATTTTCGGAATCGAAAAACGAGTGATAAGATATTTTGACCGTAGATATCACGTAAAAGACCTTGACGACTCATAGACTAGAAAAGTACAATCGACATTAAACACACTATAAACAGAAACGCGAGCCTTTCTTTACCTTTTCTCTATGTTACTTTGTAGGCACTTTCTACGAGTAACCGGAGACTCTCGAAACACATAATCGAAATCGAAAAGGTCTCCTTCAATATTAAAATTAATTCCATGTCGTCTCTGCGTGACGCGACGTGATCGTTCGTACATTTAAAAAACTAAAGGATGATTAGGCGAACATTAGAAAATGTGCAACATTCTCGCAATTGCTATCGATAATGATACTTTTTTTCTTACTTTACAATTAATGTATGCAGTTCTCTTATCATATATATATTTGTATGTATATTTGTATGTATATTTATATATATCCTACTCTTTTATTATTTTTCTCTAATTGTTCGTTCATTATAGTTTTATTGCTTTAAATTTAATTGCGAATCAATGTAAGATAGTCACGTAATATACAGTGTTAACTCTATGCTGCTAGTGATTGGAAAGAGATAATTGATATATTTAAAGACACTATAGATATCTGCGGAGTTGTCAAAACATGACATTCATATATCCATTACGTATCAAATAAGCTTTCCGTACATACGACATTCTCTCACAATTAGAATTATTCATATAGACGAATTTTCGCGAGTCATATGTTAAACGATTTGTAGAATATAGCTGTTGCACCTAGTATAGGGAAGTATAAGTAACAGTTACGGATGTTTCAGTAATTATAACTCTTGATACTGATGGTACTCATGCTTATTTGTAATTTGTAGAACTTATTGCCCCCATCGATAATACTGCGTCAATAAACAAACTATTTCAATATCCGACATTACGTTTGAGAATAAATCGTTTAATTGTAGATTATAATTTATTGCTATTGGGGTGTAATCATTATTCTTTGCCGTTTTATCGGATAGACGAATCGATACTGTTTCTTTAATTCAATTATATTCTTTTAAAGCATTTGTTTGAAATTGCAAATTAGAAATTCTCTACTAAAATGCAAAGATTCTTGCTTTTTTTATAAATATTCTAAATATATGAATATGTAATACGATTCTCCTCGCTGACGAGGAACGGAAAATTGATGCCTCCTTTATTTTAGCTACTTGTTCATGGTTTTTAAGGCACCTGATATATGTATGGTACGCAATACAATGCATAAGAGTATACAAACAATTGGTTATAACTAAAAAAATTATTCGCCATTATTATAACTTAAAAATTATGAACCGGCGTGTGTTGATTTTTATATATAATAAATTCTAACTCAATTATTATCATCTTACTATTTCAGTCATACGATACGCAAAATAATATTACTAAAATAATATTACTAAAATATAAAAAAAAAAATTAAAATACATCCGTAAGAATACACTGTGTGTATATAAGCATATATATATAAGCATATGTATTCAAAATTACGTAGCTTTTCCAAAATATTTAAAAAGGAATAAATATACATAGCAAAAGCAGATAACATAATTGCATCATAGTTGGGCAATCATCCATAAATGCACACTGCCGCTCTTAAAAACTCACGCGAACTCTTATTTAAATGCGTACAATACTATTAGCTGTTAAATTCATATATGTATGTGTATATATATATATATATATATATATATATATATATATATATATA